ATAAAGTACAGGTAGTCCTCGACTTATAACAGTTTGCCTAATGACTGTTCAAAGTTACAATGGCACTGAAAAAAGTGCCCCCCAAGCCACAGCCGAGCAAGACACCTGCCTGCCCACCCAGGGGCGCTCTTCTTCCTGTCCGAGGTTTTCATTGTTGTGAGCATTTCTGTTGAGGATTGGCAGCGGAGGTGGGTGGGAGGTGTGTGGTTTTTATTCCCCCCGTCTGATGGGTGGTTGCAGCAGGTTTTGGTCACTTCACATGACCCTGGGACACTGTGACCATCATAAATATGAATCAGTTGCCAAGCATCTGAATATAAATCACAAGACCCTGGAGATGCTGCAACATTCCAGCTGATCGGTGCTTCTTCTGGGCTCAGCAGAAGCGCCAGCATCAGCGCCGAGCTCCAGCTGGAGCCTGGCGCTGATCCTGGCGCTTCCACTGAGCCCTGACAGCCCCAAAGAAGCGCCGATCAGCTGGAAAGCGGCACTGATCCTGGTGCTTCCGCTGAGCCCTGACAGCCCTGCAGCTCCAGCCATCTCTCGCTCAGGCTTGTGCAGTGCTGCCACCGGTTCAACTCATTCCCCTCCCCTGCTACCACTTTTCTAGGATGGTCACGTACCACCTGCCAGGTGCCAATGTACCACAGGTGGTACCCGTACCACTGGTTGAAAAGCCCTGTTCTAAAGGATCTGAATTCTTAGCTCTAAAGAATCTGAGTACGAGTCCTTGTGTATTCCTCCATGTTCACTGGCTCCATTTGGAATTTCCATCTTTTTAAGGAAAAACTCCCTGGCAGATTCCTTGCTTTTAACAATGACACCGTAGGGAACTGTAACGCGGTCTTTCCAAGTTGAGAATAGCTTTACCTGATGAGTTTCATTTGATGCAGTTGTTTGATACAAACTTAGCAAAATGGGATGATTTTCTTCTTGAGTGGCGGCCCCAAAAAAAGAAAAAGAATCCTTTTGAGGACAACTCCTTATTGTCCTCGCCCTCCGTTATAGTATGTCTTCCAGCGATTCCGTTTCCTTCCAATTTATTTTCACATCTGTTAGAGAGAATAATTCACGTTTCAAATGACGATGGCTGCCATTGTTTTGTTCTGTATTTTTCTTCCCCCGTTCTCCTTTGGCTGTGTCTTTTTCACTTTCTAACCATCTGGATTTTAAGGCTTAAAAAGGCTGTACAGAATAATAAGGGGAGATTTTTCAAATATGGGGGTGGGATCGCGCTGAACTTGATGTATAATTTAAAGAAAAATAGAGAGTCCTTATGAATCTGTAATTCCTGTCATGTGTTATATGAAATTAAAAGGTAAATGAGAAAAAGAGAAAGAGAGAGGGAAAGTGGGGGGGGGGAGAAGAGAGAGAATATGAATCATTCATCCTCAATATTTTTAATTGTTTTATTTTCTTTCTTCTCCAACCCACTCCTCTACCAAACACTGAGGAAATAAAGAGGACCAAACAGCTGTGTTTCCTGTCACAGAGGAAATTCCAAACTCTTGATGATAATCAGGTTTTTTTTAATCAGCTCAAAGTGGGACATGTCAGAGACTAAAAGATTTTCCATCTTGTCCCAAAATAGCCAAAAACAAAACATTGGAGACTAAATTATCCCAACGGTTGGAGAAATAGACCAACTCATGAGGCTCTTTTGATTAATTATATTTTTCTCTTATATCTGCAGCACAGTAATTTGGTTCAACAATCAAGGCATTGATGACAAAGGCTAGATTTAATTCTACTTCTTACCCATAGCTTCTTCTAACTATGGTTGTGTAGGAGAAGAGCAGGCAGAGCTAGGGGGCAGCGTTAAGTAAGTCATCAGCCTGGAGTCGTTACGTTACCACAAACGGTCTAAGTCTAACCACTCTTGAATTCCGTTGACCGTTATCTGACATCAGTTTAGTATTGTACGTTAGTTGATTGGATTCTTGGTTATGAGCATGAGCAATAAATCTTCTCAACTGGAACTTGTGTGACTCTGATCCTTTGCACCTGATGGGTTTGTGGCCTTCTTCCTGGCTATTCCAAAACCCCATTTTATCTTGTAAGGATAAGAGTTATTATCCGGAGGGTTGTTTTGTTTAAGGATCAGGAAGATGCTTTCCTGGGGATGTTTGATGTAAATGTTGGCCTCATGGCTCATACTGAGAATATCAGGATCCTTAAGTGAACCAGGGGTGAAGTCAAAAGAGAACAGTTCAGTAGGAGGAGAGAGTACAAAAGAGAGGGATAACTACAACACAGCACTAGAGGAAAAAGGATCTGAAGCCAGAATTAATTGAAAGCAAAGTTAAGATTCAGAGGACTCATTGGAAGAGTTGAGGGACCTTCAAGGTTTGGTTCCGTAGCCATCTTGTGGAGCGGTCACAACTTCATATATGCTCAAATAACCCTAGCATCTAAGGAGATTCTCAGTCACCCAGATCATGGTTGTCCCCAGGGCTTTTTTTCAGCCGGAACGCGGCGGAACCGCGTTCCGGCACCTTTTTCCGGGCCGGCCGCACCGGAAATAGCCCCTCCCACACCGGAAATAGCCCCTCCCAAATTTTACTTGCATTCCTGTTCTCTAAAGGGGCGGTCCTAGGGTTTGATGAGGGCGTGGCCAGGTTTGAGTTCCGCCACCTTTTCTCCGA